AGTGTGTGGTGTGGTGTGTGTGTGTGTGTGTGTGTGTGTGTGTGTGTGTGTGTATGCGCGCGCGCGGCGCGCGTGTGTGTGTGTGTGTGTGTGTGTGTGTGTGTGTGTGTGCGTGCGTGCGTGCGTGCGTGCGTGCGTGCGTGCGTGCGTGTGTGTGTGGTATGTGTGTGTGTGTGTGTGTGTGTGGTGTGTGTGTTGTGTATCTGTGTGTGTGTGTGTGTCTGTGTGTGTGTGTGTGTGTGTGTGTGTGTGTGTGTGTGTGTGTGTGTGTGTGTGTGCATGAATACACGCGTGTGTGCACGCACGCGTGTGTGCGTTGATGCTCATACGTAATATCCGTAAGTAATATCTCGGTAGTAATACTTTATTTACCTGTCCCCGATCCATCCGAATAATAATGCTCCAAATATGCCGCCCGCGCTAAACATAGACATGGAGAGAGGGCCTTGCCATGCTTTATCACATACCAGCCCCACTGTATAAGTAACAAACAGTAGTAAAAATTCGGAGCACACTACTAACTTCTGCTAAAATATCGTCGCTTGATTATCGTCGCTCAGTAACTCGAATATTTACCCGGCTAGTTTTTGAAAATATGCTTGCTTTCAGAACATGTCGTGAAGCACAGAAAATTTATATTCATGTGATATTATTGTATATTTTACAATATATAAAGTAATGCAATGATTAAGAACAATTTTACAACGACTATCTAATAATAGTTTACTACTATCTTAACTAAATTGTACAACATAGAGTACGCATGACAATTAATAATTGATATATATCTGCGAGATATCAGTTATGAACACATAAAACAACGTTTACGAAATAACATGCCACGAGATATATGAACGCGCGCAAGAACCGGACTCTATACCGCGACAATGCAGCAATTTGTGTCGGCGAACAGCGGACCTACTACGGCAATAACTTTGTGTTCGCGACAACGGACTACTACGCAATACTTGTGTCGTGACAACGGACCTACTAACGGCAATACACTTTGTCGCGACAACGGATCTTCTACGCAATAACTTGTGTCGCGACAACGGACTACTACGGCAATACTTTGTGTCGCGACAACGGACCGAAAAAGCTCTAGCAATAACTTTTGTCGGCGACAACTGAACCTACTACGGCAATAACATTTCGTGTCGCGCGACAACGGACCTACTACGGCAATAACTTTGATGTCGCGCAACGGACCTACGCTCGCGTCCACGATTCGTGGAAACCGTACCAGGTTTGTCGAATCCCAGCCATGACGACACGGTACGGTCGGCAGCGCGTTTGTCTCCAATCAATCTGTAACGTTGGCGGGCAGCGGAAGCTCGATCGCCAAGCCTCCCGGGAGAAGTTTCACGTTCGGTCCCCCCCGACATGCCGACAACTGCTTGTGAAACGAGTTTTGCTGTTTCTTTTCCCACGGCAGCGTCAAGTTTACTTGATCTGCTGAGTCGTTAGTCTGAGTTTTCCAGGGTCGGGCACACGGCACAGTGCCTCAGGGGTGGCGACCATGAAATTCTGGGTTGAGCAGCCGGGAGCCTGTTACACACCACGATGCCACGCAACAGCATAACACTACCTGGTAAGCGACCCATCCCCCGATGTATGGAATTATTTTCGTCGAAGTCCATGTACTATCTGTTCCCTCGTAGCGTCACTGCGGTATCCGTTGATGGTTTGTCATCCATTGCGAATAAGCGTTTCTCTAGCTTTAACAAGCGACAGGCAGCCAGCGCAGCATTCACACTAGTGTGTTAGCATGTCTTCGTTTTTCCTCAGCTTCTAATTATATATATACACAATTTTAGATGCGGTGCGTGGTTGTGCTTGCTTGCGTCGGCGTTGCGTGTGCGCTGGCAGTGCATGGGGGGTGTGGCGTGCCGTGGTAGCAGTCGTACGTGCGTCAGTGCGTGCGTGTGAGTGGCGTGTCGTGTGTGTGTGCAGTGTGTGTGGGTGATGATGATCACCGGCTCGCGGCGCGGTGTGTGTCTTGCGTGTGTGTGTGTGTGATTGCGTTTCTCAATGGTGTTAGCATTAAACTATACTATCACTCACAACTAAATACAAATAAACTGAAACTAAAACTAAATTAAACTAAACCAAATAAATAAAACTAAAACTAAAACTCAATTAAACTAAACTATCATAGCTAAATTATAACTAACTACTAACTAAAACTAAACTAACTAACAAAGCTAAACTAAACTACAACTAAACATAAATTAAACTAACACTAAATAAACAACCAAACCAACCCACCCAAACTAACTAAACTAACTAAACTAAACATAAAAACTAAAGCTAAAGTAAACTAACTAACACTAATATTAAACGACAATAAACCAAAACATTAACCATTGTAAGGCACAAAAAAAATAAAGCTCAAACAAGTCACACAGCAAGTATCGTAAACATTGCACCAGGGCCTATACTTGCATCATAAAACCCCACCGATATCATATGGTCTCGTTAATTATCAATTATTAGCGCTAAAGGTCAGGCGTTTTCTATAATGGAGGCCATGCACAGTCTAGAGCAAACACCATTCAGATACCGAATGCACAATTGGCAGTTAGCAGAAGGGCAATAATGTAAATTCCGCGTTCATGCGTCAACACATTAACATGACACTGGGAAAAGTTTTTTCGCAGGGACCACACACGTGGCGGTTTTACGGTGCGGTGGGACGAGATGTAATTGTGCGTATTTAGAGCAGGCAAATATTTTCCAGTTGTATAGAAGTAAGCGGCGACGCTGAGTTGTGATTGCCGATGTCAGCTAATACATAGGACTATCGTATTCATTACGAGATAATTAATTAATTGGATCCGGATCACCACCAAAATCTCATCAATTCTAAGTTAAGCGATTTCTGGACTATAGTCATCCTGAAAATTTTATGACAATCCGTCCATAACTTTTTCAGTTAGGCTGTACACGCACAAACCAACAAACACACGCCGGTGAAAACATAACCTCCTGCCAACCCCTTGGCGGAGGTAATAATAATAACAATGGCACACACAATAACTTAAAGGTGGACGAATGGTTTTCAATCTTATTTGATGGCTAAAAACTTTGGTAACCTAAGTCTTGGCTCAAATTGTAAAACACCCTGATTACCATACTGATCTCTATAATAAAATCGTTATATAAGTTATAAAATCGTTATAAAATCGTTATATAAGTTACAAAATCGTTATAATAGTTATTATAGAGATCAGTGGACTACCCTCACGACTATTGTCAGTACACGATTAAACAGTGAATATTTCTGGACCATGTTGCAATAATTTGCATACCTTCTCTATTTAAAAATATATATATGCACATGACCTGGTGATTACAGCTACTTATATGTAGATCTCCGAAAATATAACGTGTGCAGTGAATATACGGTACTACGATCAAATCGCGTTGGTCAGTAACTGCAGCTCATAGGGTTTATGTCCACCAGGGTACTATCGGAGGGTACCCTGGGTACGGTTCGATATATCGGAACGTACCCTAGCAGGTAACTATCTGATATGGTTAGGGTTAGGGTTAGGGTTAGCGAGTAGCCGTAGGCGACTCCCTAGACTCGTTAGTGGAGTAGGCGAGGTACGGTCCCGCATATTAGATAGTAGGCCTACCAGGGTACGTTCCGATATATCGAACCGTACCCAGGGTACTCTCCGATAGTACCCTGGGGGACATAGACCCTCTCAGCGTAACTGCACGTTTATCCGGGCAAGACAAATGGTGGTCAACCAAAAATTACGTCTGAACGCCTGCGTGGAAAATTGCTTGAAAACAGTTTGAACGTGAATTCTGTCGAATATGGGGAAACAGCCTTCAAAGATTCAAAGCTGCTCTACCAGAACATTAAACAGCTTACCCAGGTTCGGCAATCATGACTTTAGTCGTATTCTAGCCCATAAACGTTTCACCCTGTGGAACTTTATCTATCGAATAATTTAGCACTATTTAGACTGGTCCGTACCGACCGTTTAGACTTTGTCCAGTCAGTATTGACTGAACGTACGCTTGCTGCTACACAATGCAGATGAACTTGCATTGAACTTGCATGAACTTGCATGATACAACAGTTCCACGGATTTGCTGATGATTTATGAATCACAACTCAACAGTGCAGCAACGCATATCGGCACTTGTCCGTTCACCCGATTCGTATCTTTTCGCACGCCGACAGCGTTGAAAAGATGGCAATAGGTGCCTTCTATTCGTCAAGGATGCATCTACCTTGCGTGTATAATACAATTATAATACAATCTAGTGCACTCTAGTGCCGAATTTTAACGAAAAAAACCAAAAGAAAGCCTTCTCCAGAGACGAAATAGTTCAGAGACGAAAAACGGTTACTGTAGTATGCCCCCTTACGGTTGCATTATTTCGTCTCTAGTTTTTTTTTAAATCTGGAAATGCATTGTATGCGCAGGTTAGGTGCGTTATTTTCGTCTACAAAGGATAAGAAGTAAAATTGGTCTTGTCGAGAAATTATGACAGTTGCAGGTAGTAATTGTAATGGCAGTAGTCGTCGTAAAAGTAGCAGTTGTAGCAATAATAGTAGTAGTAAATTATCACAGATTATTAATCATAGAACTTATGAAGAAATATGTTTTGGCATTATCCTTATATATAGTCGTAGTCGACGGCATGTATGGCCGGTAGAAGAAGAAGGAGGCTGAGCGAGGCACAATGGAGGCAAGTGGAAGGACGGAAGGGGATGAAGTTGGAGTTTTGCACTCTACAGGCTAGGGCGCTTTCCTAATTATAAGCACAGGTCTACAGATAACAATTTATTACATAAATCTATGCTGAGATACCCCCTAACCATATTAAATGCATATTCATCACAAAGTATAACTTTTCGGGCGAGATATTGCGCATGCGCTCACACACTATCGTAGCCAGATTGTGCACTAACTTTCATATGCAACGGGGATCTTACAAGCAAGGTCTTTTTCCTATTTCTTAAGTGACGTCTACTGATGGAATGCTATCATATAAATCTAGCTTGGATAATTCCTCTTCATTTTAAATACATAATTTTTGCAAAATATTCTTCTTCTCGAGAGATATATTGTGCATCCGTAAACACCGAAACAAATCGTATGCTTAAATAATGGCCGAAAAAAAATGTCTTGGGTGGCCAAGGCAACGAACGACCTACGCATTATTGCACATGTACGGAAGCTAATGGCGTAATGCTGCGGCCGAAGTGAATTTCTGAGATCTGCACATCTCCTTTGGCCCTAGCTCTGTCTTTTCAAAGCCCGCAAGATTGGCTGGAAAGCATTGTCTTGTGACTGAGGTGACGTGCGACCTGTGCGCCATTGCTCAAGTACTTTAGCATAGGCTTGTGGGGGATGCTGCGTCCGAAATAAAATTCTGAGATCGGATTTTCCCATGCACATCTGCTTCGGGCATGCCACTGTCACGGCGCGAAAGATCGGCAG